CATGTCATACAACAATTGTAAAGCATCAAAATAAAATAAAAATAATTACATTAATGTCCAAAAAAACTTACTTTGTGAATTTGAATTTTATTCATCAAAATTTCTTATAGACCAATGCAATGTTACATCATAATAACATGGAGAAAAGCCAAAAACTATTAACTGATAATAATTCAAAATGTAGCACCCTTATAGCCTGACGCTATTGAATAGGGTCTTAATGCATTCATCCAAAATCACATGATCATCCCACTTGTACCCTCAATAGATCCATCCTTTTTCTAAGATCAGTTCATCAAACACCATGTTCTCAATATCAAAAAAGTACTACGAAATTTAATGACTATCAAATACTACTACAAGCTTTCAAAACTAGTATAAGTCAATTGTTAGGACAATGTAAGGTAGCATACAATTCATGCTATTAATGACAAAAAAGGTTAGTGAACAAAAACAATCTTACACGGCACAAGGCACAACAAGAAGGGAAAAGAGAAAATTTGGAGTAGATATACAATGCATATCCAATGGTCCACAGCTTGGAGAAGAAAAAAATATTTGATCTACGGCTTGAAGAGGGAGATACCAGTTGCGGAGAGAAAATCTTGGAAGGTTTAATGGTAGTTGAAATAAATCCATAGTTTTATTTATAGGAACAGTGATTTACAGAAACCCTAAGCCAAAAACTAAAAATATTTTAAATTTTTTTATTCTAAAGTATTTGTTTTATTCTAAAATATTTTAAATTTTAAAATAAAATATTCTTCAATGAAAAATGGCATTTCTAAAGAAAGAAATGCCACTTTCCAAAAAAAAAAAAGTGTTAGAAAAGTGACATACTAGTGGATGCTTAATAGAGGTGTCGTTCAGATGTCTAGGAGCGCCAACATGCATGTCTATATCCTCAAAGTGTCGACATGACCCTTGGACACACATTTCTATGTTTTCATAAATATTCATAAATACCCATAAACATGTTTTGAAATCTGCAACATTTGCAACATCTCTTTAATTCTTGCCCCCCAAACATCAAAATAACATCCAATCATATGGCCTCTTATAAAGTACTCTAAAAGGTTGGTTCATCAAATTCTCAAATCCTCTATTGTCTAATCAATTGCCAATATTTTTTGAGATAATGTTAGCTCTTGTATTAGCAAAAGAGTAAGTACATAATAGGGTACGAATAAGTTACCTACAAGTTGGGTACTCTTTGCAAAAAAAACTTCAAACCACAAGGCATGTGCTCTATCTATCTAAGAGTGAGGTGCACCCTAAGATGCTAAGTGCATGAGCAGTATGGGTCATTGGACACCTGAAAACAAAAGAGAAACCAAAATAACATTGAACCAAAGTCAAAAAATTCCCCGAAATGGTTTCATTGGCATTGCCCACAGCGGCTCCTCGTTTGGCAAGGGCATCAACCTCTGAGTTTGCCTCCCGCCAAGTATGCTGAAAGGAAATCTGAATATGCTGCATATGTCATGAATTTGGCCAAAAAGGTGTCTAGACCCCATGGGCAAGGGGAGGCACCGGATGCCACAGCCACTGCATTTTCTGAGTCACCCTCAATAGCTAAAGATGAGCCCCATTGCTGATTCTATGAACATAGACGTATGTCGGGGGTCTGACCACATGTTGACACCTGGAGGACACGAAAACACATATCGACACTCCTAGACACTTCCACAAGTCATTGTTCCTATAAATAAAATATGAATTTATTTCAACTATCATTAAACCTTCTAGGGTTTCTCCCTCCCTACTTGTTTCTCCCTTCCCAAGCTATGAACTAGTGGTTTGTCCCTCTCTAAGCCATGGAACACTGGATATTCATCTCATATTTGCTCCAGCTTTTCCCTCTTCACTTCTCGTTCTTGTTCACTATTGTTTTTGTCGTTAATAGCATAAACTGTAGGGCAACTTTCTTCATACCCCCTATTTTTGGTATCAATTTCTTAGGAGACCCAAGGATTTAATCTATTTCTGACGGCATGAGGTCTTTAACTTTTCTATCTTCTAACCCCCTAGATTCCTTTGACTTTATATTATTGACCTAAACAATTTCTAAAATGACTCCCTATTATCAAAACATAAGCTCCAGTTAACCCTTCCGTCACTCTCTCTCTAAACTCTATCTTTCTTTCTCTCCCCTCTCTCTCTCTCATACCCAAAGTTAGTGGGTTTTTGCACTCTCCCCATCATCTCTCTCTCTCAAAACTCAGCTTCTCTCCCTCTCAAAACTCCACCCCTCTCACCCTTCTCTCTCTCACACACACACACAGATAGACGTTTCCAAAGCCTCCAACCCCAATTAAGGATGTCTGGTTGAAGTTCTTCTTGCAACTATGAGAAAGTGAAGTTTCGGCCCAGCCCAAGGCTCGATGAATAAATGTTTCCACTAACCCCACTCCTGGAACCTCTTTGTGATGCTATATGCTCGAATGGCCACCTGAATGAATAGGGAGAAGCCATGAAGAGAAATTGTTATGTTTTCTCCAATCTTCAGGTCTCCTATGCCACAGAAAATCATGGCCCCAAGTCCCACAAATGCTCCAAAAGCCATGAAAAGGCCCACGGCTGTTGCAGTGCCGCTCTTTGAACTAGCCTTAACCAAAATCTTCCACCCTGAACAAAAATTTCTCCATCCAAGTTCTCAACTGTGCTGCTACGCTTTGTGATTTCAGGCCCATTAAGAAGAGCATTGGGCTCTGGTTCATCAGACCCAGATGAGTTCAGACTCATCGGACCCACTTGAACAAGTATTCAACCCATTGCTATTGATGCAGTAACCATGAAATCCTTATAGTACAAGACAACCAAACCAGAGACCAAGGTCGATAAGCCATGCCCTGTGACTGCAGGGTAGCCATTGATGTACACATTGAAGAATAGCCTATTCAGAGCCTTGCTTATGATATCACAAAAATGGAGCCTAACCAGGTATCAAAAACTTGAGTCTACACTAAAGCCCCATGTCAAATTGAACCCATGGTGAGCCATTGGCGAAAGCTCAAGAGCTGAGGCATAAACCCAATTTGGGGCAATCAATGGACTTACAATCTCTGTATATGTAATAGCATCTAGTGAAATCTTCACACTTTGGGTTTTGAAGAGAGAGAGAGGAGCGAGAGAGAGAGAGATAGATGCATAGTTTCGAGAGGGAGAGAGACATTTAAAGGAGAGAGACGATGGGAAGAAGAGAGAGACGATGAGGAGAGTTGCAGAAACCCACTGACTTTGATTATGAGAGAGAGAGAGAGGGGAGAGAGAAAGATGGAGTTTAGAGAGAGAGACGTTGGGGAGAAGAGAGAGAGATGATGAGGATAGCTTTAGAAACCCACTAACTTTGGGTATGTGAGAGAGAGGGCAAAGAGAAAGACGGAGTTTAAAAAGAGAGATGGAGTTTTAAGAGAGAGAAACGGAGGGGTTAACGAGAGGTTAGGTTTTGATAAAAGAGGTAATTTTAAAAATTGTTTAGGTCAATAATATAAGGTCAAAGGAGCCTAGGCGTTGGAAGATTGAAAAGTTAAAGACCTCATACCGCAAGAAATAGTTTAAAACTTTGGGTATCCTAAGAAATGGCTGCCAAAAATAGGGGGTATGGAGAAATTTTCCCTAAATTGTATTCTACCTTGCATTATCCTAGCAAATGACATTTACTAGTTTTGAAAGTTTGCATAGTATTTGATATCTTTTAAATTTTCTAGTACTTTTAACATTGAGAACATGGTGTACGACAAACAAAGCTTAGCAAAAGATGGATCTATTGTGGGTGCGAGTGGGATGACCATGTGATTTTGGATAAATGCATTAGGACTTTATCAAGAGCTATTCAACAAGAGTGTTACATTTTGAATTAATAATTAGTTGATAGTTTATAGCATTTTTTCAATGATGTTATGATGCAACCTTGGATAAGTCAATAAGAAATTTTGATGAATAAAATTCAGATTCACAAAGTAAGCGTTTTCCAACTATTAATTAAAAATAATTTAATTATTTGGCTGTTTTTCTATTGTTGTTTATATACATACATGCATATGTGAACTACACATAGATCTTAATATATGTATATATAGACATAGGCATCATATATTATACAAACATCATGTCTAGATGTCATTTTTTTGGGTTCAGATTTCTGACACTCTCATCCATTTCACAGATAGGCACGTGTTTCTGTTTCCATGTAACATAGTGATGATTGTATCTTTTTGGTGACTTCTAGCAAGGCCACTATTTTTGCCACAGTGGAATCCGTGTGGACTATGAAATGGGAGTCGGACTCGATGGTGTGTTCTCATTATGATCACGAATAACCCTCCATATCACGTGGGTCCAAGGTTTCTAAGTGAAGATCCACCAAAGCTTAGTTCGATTTGGCACGGTTCCGATGGTCACCACAAGGATGATAGAGGGACTTGTGGAGACCTAGCTTTGAGTAATGCTTGCCAATTGTTGAGGAAATCTGCATGTATTTAAACGCTTAAGAGTTTATTGCCCAGAAAAGTACCATTGATATGATCTGATCTTTTGAGGAATTTGGCACTCCTTTCCTTGCCGTTGAAGATTATGTTGCTTCTTTTAGTCCAGAGTACCCAAACGGTTGCCGCTAAAGCAGCTCTTCCACAAAAATCTTCCTGAAGCTAAGAAGGTTGGGGAGTAGTAGACCTAAAACTGGAATAGAGGAATAGTTGTAGTAGATCAGATCAGAGATTACCAGCCAATTTGCAATGGAGGAAAAGGTGGTTGTTAGTTTCTTCCTTCATTTTGCACACGGCGCAACAATTGGGTATATGAAACCCCCTTATTTGGGTTTGATCTAATGCAAGTGCTCTTCTAAAGATGGTCCAGCTGAATGTCCAAATTTCAGGGGGATGGGATTCAGTCAAGCTCTATTAGCAACAATTGGGGAAAGTACGTTTGGGGGAGGGGTCCGAAGAGAAGCATAGGAGGATATTGTGAATTTCCTAGAGGGGGAGGCCATCCGAATGATTTTATTGGGGCACCCTATTGGGAGGCAGGTGGACTGCAACAGGAAGGAAAGGGCTAGGAACTCAGCTTGCTCATGGTTTCCACGGCTCTCCTGAAGGTAGGACACCACACTCTTGTATACCCCAATAATTCGAATGATTGGGTCACTGTTACATCCTGATCAGTGGCTAATCGAAGAGAAACTAGAAGCGACTACCTAGGGGAGAGTCCCCAAGCCATAGATCACTGCAAGAAGATACCCTTCCACCACCTCTTGCTCTGAAACGAATGTGGCTCTTGAACTGGTTAATGGTGGACCAAATCAAGTAGCATTCTCCCAAAGATCTTGCATTTGGAGATCTGTTACGTAGCCAGGCAGAAGGGGCAATCATATTTATGTTTAACCACAGATTGCCAAAGTTGGTGGCATAGCGCGACAAAACTATTTGTCAAGGAGGACAGAGATATGGAGCCTTAGGCAATGTACGCCATCCACCCTTCAACTTGGTCAGACAGTGTCCTAAGGTATGAGGTGAAATATTTGTCTATTCCCCACATCCGACCAAAGAAAGCTCCTCATTGGCCACTCTAGACACGAGGATACTAAGGCAAGATTCTGGAAGAGGGATATTTGATAGGTTGGAATGATTGAGAGCATTGCTTTGATTAGGCTAATGCAGCCTGCCAAAGACAGGAATCGTCCTTTTTCAAGCTGCTAATTTCCAATCAAATCTTTCCACCAATGTTCAGAAAGGGATGCTGGCTCCCTAGGCAGCAAGACGGCCTCCTAGGTGAGCGCTCACATACCTGGGCAGCCCTCAGGCGTCGACGGGTGGGAGGGGGCAGTAGTGGTTGGGATGGGGGACCGTATGTTGTGTGTATGTATCAATATGTGTATATATATAATGTGTGTGTGCGTGTGTGAATGTGTGTGTGTGTGCATGTGTGAATGTGTGTGTGTGTGCGTGTGTGAATGTGTGTGTGTGCGTGTGCATGAGGCCTCGCATGAAACACTTAAAGGTGATCTTTTTTCTTATCTTATATGTAGAGTAAGAGAGATAGAGAATACGGATCTGTCTGTGACATAGATGTCATGAAATGGAGGACATTCTTTCTTTTCTTCTTCTTTTCGTTTCTTCTAATATGTTACGAAGAGAGAGAAGAAGAAGAAGAGAGAGAGAGAGAAGAAGAAGAGAGAGAGAGAGAGAGAGAGAGAGGGACCTCGCATCAAACTCTTGGCAGGTTTCGTTTTTTTATTTTTTTCCCCTTACATGTAGAGAAAGAACATGTGAGATCATGTGTGTTTTTGTGTGCATGTGTATGAGCGAGAGAGAGGCCTCGCATAGAACACTTGGAGGCTATCTTCGTGTTCTTTTTTTGCTTACATGTGCAGAGATAGCACATGGGCCCAATCTAGCGAGAGAGAGAATGGCCTTAAATAGGCATCAACTTCTCTTTTTTTTAAGTGGCTTTTTCTTTTAAGGGGTGGTACTAGGCAAGTGCCTAGACCCGCCTAGGGGCCCACCTTGAGCCCACCTTGGGTGCCTAGGAACATGTCTGCAAAGGGTGACCCCCTAGGCCTATTTTAGTCATTTTTTGTCCCAGCTTCCTAGGCGGCTGGGAGGACGAATTTTTGAGCAGGGTCCCACAATTGTTTCTTTGGTTCGCCGATGAGAGGTGGAAGACCAAGGTGCTTGGTGGGCAAACAGTCTACCTCACAACCCAACCTTTTGGCAAGGACTTGCATCATTTGGTAGTCAATAGCAAGGCCCATGATTTTAGATTCTGCTGTATTGATCTTGAGCCTCATGGCGACCTTTAAGAATTTGAGATAGATCCAAAGAGTGTGTAGTTGTTGCTGAGAAGCATTGCATAAAATGAGGCTCGTCGGCACTAGTAGATAGGACATATTTGACCCCTCACTGCCCCACTTGGAAACCCTTCTTGAGGCATTGCTCATACACTCTTCCCATGAACTTCCTAAATACCTCTGTAATGATTGGGGAGAGGGGATCTCCCTGCCGCAGGCCTCTTGAGGAAGGGAAGTAGGCCATTGATGAGGATCAAGAAGATAGGTGCTGTTATGCAAACCGTCATCCATTGCCTCCATTCATTCCCGAATTCCATTCTTCTCAAAATATCATCTAGAAAGGGATCAATTGACATGGTCATAAGCTTTTTCCCAATCAAGTTTAACTACAACCCAAGGTATCTTAGCTTGGTTTCTTGAGTGGACACATTCATCAGAAATGAGGGCCCCATCTAAAATATTCCCATCCTTGACAAAAGCCCCTTGGTTGGGGGAGATGACCCATTTAAGGACTTCTCTTGAGCAGGATGCAAGGACTTTAAAAAGGAATTTGTAGGAGATATTAAGGAGGCTTATGGGTCTAATATCTTTAAGATCCACCGCTCCTTCGACTTAGGGACCAGGGCTAAGACAATCGACTGCCAATCTTTCAGGATCGCATGTGTTAACAGAGCTTAAAGGCTAAAATATGATATCTGAAATTAAAGAGTTGCAAACGAGGATTGTCAACAAAGAACTATTCACGCAAAATTAAAAATTAGATTCCAACCACAAACCATACTAGCCATAAAAGAAACCCCCATCCCTTTTAGTGGTAACAACAAAAATCCAATGTTTTACTTTTTTCTCGACAAACTCCCCAAGTCTTCTCAATTTTATTTCAGGCAATGTTACCCCATTTATAACCCTTAAGGCAAGTCTTAAGGTTAAAAATTAAAGGTCCCCCTCTCTCTTTACTCTTCAGGCTTTTCTTCTCTCTCAGGATTTCAGGTGATTGTTTCAAAAATCACCATCAAAATGGCATGAGACAGGAAAAATAGGCATTTCCCTGGGCCATTTGTTTCAACAAACATCCTTGCGACCTCTGGCTTAATCCATGCACTCTTACCAGTTGGAGAGAGCATCGCAGCATAGAGACAAACTCTTCAGTAAAGCAAGAGAATTGCTATCAACTCTTCAGTAAATGGTCTCAGATTTGTAATATTTAGTTCAATACTTTTCACAAATTTTGTCACTGATTCTTTTGATTTTTGTCCAAGTAACTCATCAACAATAAGTATATTGTTAGCATATCAAATTATTATCTCAGGATCATACTATACGTATCATGAAGCAGCTCAGCTACATACCCCATGGTTTATTCGACATGAATTTCAATTGGCTAGGCAAGAGGTTCAAAGCTCAACACTAATTGGCATCTTGCTTCAATTTTTAAGTCTTGTAAATCAAATCTTTGATTCAATGAATACAGGTTGACCATCACGCACGTGGCCGCACATGCACACACATAAAATCAAAGATGCAGTCTAGCACACACACAGCCTAAAGTTATGCATGTGTCTATATGTAATATTCACCATATGCATGCATGCACTGCAAGCATGCATGATCTACATAAACATTTCCTTTTTTCTATTTTTTTGGATAAAATTTGCACACATACATTCGTCATAGATCCATAAATCCACCCTTCACATGAATCAACATATCCTGCTAATTACATGTTTTTTGCACCGGTCATACCTGCAATGATAATTTCATCCATTTGATACTTTTTCTTCTTCAGAGCTCTCATCTCTTAAAGGCCCTCTCAGACTATCCTTATCACCAAGAAGTTCCCTAGTCGCCTTTGCAAGAAATTCTTCAGCAGCCGCATGTACCGATTGCTTTTCAGTCACCTGAGACTTCCTCTTCCTCTTACCTCGCCTTCTCTCTTCAAATTGACTCCTTTGCCCATCCTCTCTGCTAATTTCTCGCATACTTTGTCTTTGTTCTAAAATTTAAAAAATTAAATAAATAAATAAATAAATAAATAAATATTAACCTAAAAATCCCTATTAAATACTGTGAATAAAAGAAGTTCATATCAGAAAAGCATCCACACCAGGTGCAAGATCAGGCAGAGAATGTTCAATAAAACGCGTTGCAGCTTTATAATTTATGGTCGTGGAGGGTCGCTGAGGGCCTGTAAAACAAATTTAATGCATGTTTAATAAACAATAGATGGGCTTTGATCGAGTACGTCTTCAATTCACAGGAGAAAGTTGGAAACACATACCACATTACAAAGAATTGTCAACCAACAATGATAGCATCTTGAAGAGTATCCAAATATTTTTAATAAGTACACAAATTTTAAGAGATGAATACCCAGATTTTAAGAGGGGAGAGGGGAGAGGGAGAGAGAGAGAGAGAGAGAGAGGAGGAC